CACACACACACACACACACACACAAACATACACAAAAACACACACACACGGGGACAGACACACACACACACAGGGACACACACAGACACACTCACATACAAACACACACACACACACACACTCACATACAAACACACACACATACAGGGACAGACAGACATAAACACACAAACACACACACAGGGACAGACACACACACACTCACACACACTCCCCCGACCTTCCACCACCGGTCACAGCTTCTCTCTCTTTCTCTTTTCCCTTCTAAAGATTCCGGGGCTTCACTTCCTGGTGGGCGGGGCCTGCAGCTGCTGGGCCGGCTCTCATTGGTCAGCCAGTTGGAGCTGGAGGAGGTCAACAGCCTGCCCAACCAGCACCACTCCTCCGACCACCTGCCTCTGCTCGTCCGCTTCCGGCTCCGCCCCTGACCCCCCCACACCCCCCCACCCCCCCCCCCCCCCCCCCCCCCCCCCTCAGCCAATCAGAAGACGGTTTTATCAGAACGCAACCTTTCTGAGCACCAAAAACCCAATTGAGGGAACGCCACTCACCCCTAAATCCAGATGTAACGACCAGGAAGGAGGATTTTTAACGCACAAAACCTAAAGACCAGACTTGAGACACTAAAACGTGGAGTCTCCCTCTTTAAAGGAGCTTTTTTATAATAAATAAAAGCTTACTTCCGCATGCCTGCTCCTGGAGCTCCAGGAGGGAGCTTTTAGCCACAGAGGTGAAAGTATCACCTCTTATTTCTTCTTCTTCTTCCTTCAGGAAAGAGCTTTATCTTCTTTTATAAAAAATAAAAAAAAACATTTTTAAGATTTTTTCTTCTGGTTAACACTTGATTTAGTTTGATGGAGAGGATTCTACAGAATGGAGCCCGGTTCGTTTGATTCTTTTAAAGCTTTTCAGAGTTTGGGCCGTAGATTGTGGTAACACTGAGCTGTGATCTGTACAGACTTTAACTCATCTTCTTCATCGTCACTAAGTTGACAGGGTTGGATTTATTTTTCTTACTGTTTGTTTGCCTGGTTTTTGACAGTTTACAGAGTGTAAATAAATTATTTTTATTTTTAGACGTCTCTGCTGTTTGTTGCCCCCCGTTTTTTTTAATTTATTTTAAAGGTTAAAACTCAAACTTTACCTGCCTCACAGAGCTGCTACCTCTCAGTTTTTTTATAATTAAACAGCTATAAAGTCGGGACCAAATGTTCGTTAGGTCACCAAACGTAATTCAAGTTTTTTCTTTTTCTTCTTTTCCACCGAAGTTGTTGTAACTGATCTGAGCCACTAGATGGCAGCAGCACACTGTAATAACTATATTATATCCACAGGGACAGTGGAGAGGAAAGATTAAGACCACATTTGTGCATTTGCTGTGTGTTCTGCTCATTGTTTACCTTTAATAGACCTTTTTTCCTCTGTCTTAAGGTGCAAATTAGGCCTAAATTCCACACAAAATGCTGTAAGTCGGCATTTATTCTGCATTATCTGTGCTCAGTACCCAGGTTTGCACGTTTAAAATTCATCCATTTTAACAAGCTTTTTTTGGGAAAGAGACTTAACTGTTGCTAATCCACTAAAATTAGACCTTAAAGCGCATGTGGGCAGGCAAGCTTTTTTTATGGCTAATATTCTAATACTTTGGAGATCATGTCCTTTGAAAACACGGCAGTGGAACTTTTCTGTACTCTCATATTTCCCTTTTTATTTTCATTACTTACCTTAGTTTTGCATTTGTTAGTAATAAATAACCAGTTCTGCTAACAAATACTGTCAATAAAGAAAAGAATCGGCTGTTTTTTTATGCAGGAATGATGCTTGGTTTGTGATTTTTCTCCCTCAGTGTGGAGGAACATTTTTATTCTAAATGTTTGGGGACTGATGAGGCACTAAAAACTCCAGCTAGGGAGGAAGCTCTGACTGTTGATCAACCCCCTTTTCCGACCTGAACTGGAACTGAACAGAAGGCTTAGAGGAAACTGACTGACCTTTTCTAGGTGAGCGTCTCCTGCCTGTGATCCTCCGGCTGCAGCACGGAGGGGGGATTATTTCCATAAATCTGCAGCCTCCGCTCGCGTCTGCAGTGGAACGTAAGCAGATTATAAAATCAGAAGGCAGCCGTTTGTGCGGCGGGACGCCCAAAAGGAAGCGTTTCCGGGAGGGGCTGGCGTTCCCACTGACTGATCTCCGGCCATTAAAACCTCCTCCGACTCTCACCTCTTATCAGAACACACCCAGGTGCTTCCATCCCGTTTCCTTTGGATCAACTAAAGAAATCGGCTGCCTAAAGATCCAAAAAAACTGCCTCTTTGCTAAATTCTCTTGAGGTTGTGGTCTTTTGAATGCCTGAATGACTCGTTGGTCAGTTTTAAGTGAGAAAGACAAATAAAAGGACAAGAAATGAGCTAAAAATGATTAGAGGAAAGTCTGGTGCTGCAATCTTCTCTTCGGCTTTCTTGAGTTCCTGTAACCAAATGATAAACCCATGCAATAAAACAATATCTGCATGTGTTTCTATCGGTCCTGACATGTCCAGCCGGGGGCTGAATGACCGACCACAGGGGTAAAAACATAGATTATTTATTAAAAGAACACATGCTGCTACAGTGGTGGAGGGAAACGGCTGCTACCGGACAGCTGAGGCCCACAGTTCCAGGAACAATAATTTAAGGGGGTTTGTAACGGGCTGATTTTTGAGAAGACACAACCACAGAGTGTGAGTCTGTTTGTGAGTCCGGTCCATCGGGTCCCAACACTTCAGCGTGAATTCACAAAAGAGATCATAAAGTGGGCGGAAACGTAGGATAGGTGGGAGCCTGGTAGCTCTTCTGGATCTGGATCTGCTCCTCTGAGCTTTGTCCGGTCTGCTTTTTGCTCAGGAGACAGACTGGATGATACATTCTATAAATCATAACATCATCTGTTTGGTTGTTTTGGGCCCAAAAAGCTTCCGTAGAAACATCTGGAGTGGTTGGATTTGGAGAAAAACTCATGATGAGGAGTTCAAGGTTCACAGGTTTTTGATCACCGGAGCAAAAAGGGAACCATCCGGCCAGACGGGGGTCTCCAGACCGGGTCCTGGTTCTGGGGGTCCCAGCAGAACCCTTTATGGACTCTGTGTTCGTGGAGAGGAACCGGAGTCTTTTACTGGTTTGTGGTTTTTACAGGTTCATCACATCAGTTCTCACCATGCGGTCTGGGATAGGAGGAGGTGCATCTCCTCTCAGAACCGTTGTGCTTCTGCTGGACCTCCATCAGACCTCCAG